ATTGGTCTCCAACTCTTGCTTCTTGACTAGCTGATGTAACCATTTCCCAGTTCCCAATGCTCCCAAACTAGAGCAGGCGGAAATAACACTAACCAGAGTTATATGATCATATTCGACCCTCTCACACAGCATTCTTCGAAACAGCTTTATTGCAAGTCTTCCTATATTATTCTGCTCGTAAGCTGCAATCATTGCATTCCATGAAACCAGATTTTTCACAAACATTCCATCGAACAATGCTCTGGATGTATCAAGATGTCCACATTTCCCATACAAAGCAATCAAAGAGTTTGTCAATGAAGTATCAGAGTCCACCCCAACTTTGATTCCATACGCATGGATCACTTCTCCAAGGTTCAAAAATTCCAAGCCAGCACATGCAGGAAGGATGCTTGCCAAAGTGACTGCATTTGGCTGTGCTTTTGAACAAATCATCTTCTTAAAAACCCCTATACCTTGCTCATAAAGCCCATTTTGCACATAACCAGCAACCATTGCTGTCCAAGAAACAATGTTTCTAGCACCCATTAGACTAAACACTTTCTCCATATTGATTATATCCCCAGCCTGGGAATACATGGAAACTAAAGAACTCTGTACAAACACATCTACATCAAACCCACTTTTAACAATATTGCAGTGAACTTCACCCCCTTCCTTTACAGCAGATATAACTGCACATGACCTAATCACAAAAGGGAAAGTATAGTTGTCTGGCAGCAACCCACTATGGTGCATGCTTCTGTAAAGAATGATAGCCTTTTGGCAAGGACCCATATTGGCATAACCCCTGATCAACGTATTCCAAATAAAAACATCCTTTTGATGCACTCTATCAAATAGGGTTTGAGCATAGTCCATGGTAGGAGATAGCTCGCAAGCCAAGGCAACTAATTTTGTAGACAGCAGCAGACTGCAGCGAGTGCCCCTCGTGAAAATCAGAGCATGTATGCATTTAAGATGCCACAGAGAGGAACAAGAAATCAATAGATGGTTTAGAGGGCGGATGGAGTGGTAGTTAGCGTTATTGTAGGGAATTGAAGAGGTGGTGATCAGAGAGGTAAGCGGTTTAATCCTTTTTGAGAGTCCTTCACATTTCTGCAATGAACCAACTGGGGATTCCAAAGGGCAAAGAAATTCCGGAAAAGTCTCGCTCAGGAATACGAATGTTCTTCGTAGAAGCATTAGATCAAGCAGATGGAGTGCATACCTTACCCTCACAAACTATACCTGATGCAACGAGAGATTGAGCATGAAATATGTCCTGGACGGAGAGCTTGTGCTGGTGAATTGATATCGAAACCCGATTGAAAGAATACCCACCGATCTAAGAGAGCAGGCTGGTCATAAAGACCATCTCTGGCGCACACAGCAAACAGAACTCGGTAAAGGAAAAAAGAGCCACACTGTTACAGAGGAACCAATTTTCCCGCGTTTCCCAGTTTCCACCCCTTGTGAGCGTGCGTGCGAGCGAGCGAGAGATCACCCATTCTGCTGCCAATGGAAGGTCAAGCGCTCAGGGTTCCGCCTCCTCAAGAAGATTTCGATAGAAGAAACGTGAAGTCTCACGCAATGGAGAAAGAGAACGGCGCCAAGAAACTCTCCGCCGCCGATGCAACTCGTGGATAATAAGCAATAAGCACTCCCAATTGCCAACCTTTCCTCAGTACAAATATTTAACTAGATGGTTAAATTTCGTCCTGATTTTACTATTATTGTCCTAACTTTAAAGTTAAAATTACTAAATTATCCTTAAATCAAATAATTAAACAACCCAATAACTACGCTCGACATCGTATGACTAAAGCCCTAAATCACTACTTGATTTTTCCTTCTTTATTCCTCCTCCATCAATGGAGTTTAGACGACGAGAATTAACTGGCGGAGGAGACGAGAAGATTCATATCAGAGGAGAGATGTTTTGAATCGCGAGAATGAAGTTAGATAAATGTGTCGACTCCGGTTCAGTACCTGAAGCCCAAGACATGAAGCTGGAGGCCGATCGGGAGAAGTTAGATTGAGATCAAAGATCGGAACTCCGAGATTCAACCTGATCTCGCTTGGGTTGGTGGATGCCGATAAAATTCTCAAGTACGAGTTGACCATTGAAGACGAGAGGCATTTGGCGAAGGAATACAGTACGGCTTTGATGAGGAAGCATATGGCGAGGCAAGAGGAGGAGATAAATTTGCTGAGGAAGAAGAAATAGAAAGAAAGTATGTAGAGATACAGGAAAAAAGTAGTCTTGATCCAAGCCAATCAAAAGATTATTGCGTGCTGGAGAGCTCCAACGGCCTGCAATGCCACTTCATGATTTGATATTTGTTCGGGAACGGGAAACGAAGGTGAGAGAGAAGACTTGCGATAAAAAAAGGATAATGTCATAATTTTTAGGTTAGGACGAGGGCGACAATTAGCAATCCCCACATTTAAGGGTTAATAACTTTTAGGTTAGGGTGAGGGCGACAATTAGCAATCCCCACATTTAAGGGTTAATAGCGTGCCCCGAAATTTGAAGTAGGTGACAATTTTGGCCTGAATTTTTGAATAAAATAGTTATGGTCAACTTTTCAAATAAATAGACAGATTTGATTCAGTTACGATTTTACGGTCAAAATTAACGGTCAATTATTTACCGGGTCAGTGACTCAGCTGCCTATGGTGACTAGAATCGTCCATGTCTTTATAAAATAAAAAAATAAAAAAAAGAAAATTTTGAGCAGGTCTTCCTTTGCAAAATTAGGGATTCCAGACACCGAATCGACGTCTCTCACTACACCAATCCGTTGATCAATATGCTCTAATGACGACCTCCACTCTTTGCTCTGGAAGTTGGTAGTGCTCGAGTACCTCCATGCCCATCGGTCGGGTGGGTTTTGGTCTCAAATTGATTCACCTGCTTACTAGCGGGTTGCTATAATTATGATCCGCCATCCACCCACATTCCTCTTCAGGTTGGGTGGGTGGATGACGAATGAGTTCGGTTTGGAATGCGGGTCAACCTGCAAAACAATTCTACATCCAGCCATTAAAAAAGTTGGGGTTAATTGCATGGTTGGTCAATGAGATTACTAAAAACGTTCATGTTTGGTAACTAAAAATATTTAATTCCGTTAGTGGTCATTAACTTTGGTATTAACGCTCATGTTTGGTCACTCTCCGTTAGTCGCCATCCATCTCCGTTAATGGAGTCCGTTTTGTGCTGATGTGGTGGAAGGAATTGTCTAATCACCTCTATTTAACCCCAAAATACTCATACCCGACCCGCCACATCACCCACACCCACCACATCATCCTGACCAGCCAACCCTTTAACCAGACCTGACCCACTCAAATTAAATCCCTAAAATTTTATCCCCTTCTTCGATCCACAGATCCACTTATCCCTTTGTTCGACTTGTCAAGATCTTGTTTCCACCGTGAACGACCCGAACGCTCCCTCGAGTGAGGACGATTTTAACGGCGGAAGGAATTTTCTACGCGACGGCGGATGTCGCGAACCCGATTCTAGGTTTGGAGAGTTGGACTTGGTGGGGGATTTCGTGCTCCGAGCTCGCGAGATGCGGAGATGCGGCAGAGCAGGGTCCATTCGACACTAAACTGTCTACCACCTCTACTAGGCACGACAACGCGACGAGGAATGAAATGGAAGAAGCAATTTAATCTTTAAATAAACTCTCGTGGGTTCTATTGTTACTCCCTTCCTTGCAGAGACGTGTTTGGATGATCTTAACTCTGTAATGATGTTGATGATGAGTTTCATTACTACTAGATAATATTTGACAACTAATTACCTTTCATGGTCTATTTCTATATGAGTTCGGAGGAGGAGATGCGGCAGCCATTGTCACCGTCGACGGAAGCTGAGACTTTTGGTGGTGGAGGGAAGGAATTGATGAGAGAGAATACGTACACAGTGATGGATAGTGATGCAGTTTCTGGTGGAAGGGACGTCGGAGATCTGAGACTGTGATATATCTTGGTTTTTGGAAAGAATCTACTCCTCGAATCAATTGGTGACGGAGCGTTAGGGTTTCACGACATTCGAGAAGGCATTGTGGAAATGGAGGGGATAAGTAGATCCGTGGATCGGAGAAGGGGATAAGTGGATTTATTTTAGACTTTAGGGATTTAATTTGAGTGAGTCGGTTCATGGATCGGGTCTGGTTAAAAGGTTGGGCTAGTAAGGATGACATGGTGGGTATGGGTGACGTGGTGGGTCAGGTCTCAATATTTTTTAGTTAAATAAGGCTGATTAGATGATTTTGTCTGCCACGTCAACACATAACATACCCCATTAACGGAGATGGACGACGACTAACTGAGAGTGACCAAATGTGAACATTTTCACTAAAGTTAATGACCAATAACTGAATTAAATATTTCCAGTGACCAAACGTGAACTTTTTTAGTAATCTCAGTGACCAAATTTGCAATTTACCCAAAAAAGTTGACTAACATTTACAATAAGTTCCTCGCAAGTTTTTAAGACTACCAATTTAGACACTTCCCATTTTTTATCATGTGGATCCGTGTAATATTTGCATCATATTTTTTAGGGCTAATACCACTGGGAAACCCGAACTATTAACTTTGTGTCATTTGTGTCCTAAAGTATTCGATACGACATTTGTGTCCCAACCTATTATAGTTTTGTGTCATTTATGTCCTGACGATTTTGTTGACCGTTATATATAACGGTTGACCAAACGGAAGTCAACATTAACATTGACTTTTGTTGACGTGGCAGCCACGTAGATGCCACGTCAATGACACCTCATATTTTTTTACTAAAACCAAATAAAAATAAAAATAAAAATAATCATAAAATAAAAAAATTAAGAAAATAAAAAAGCAGGGGATAAGTGTTGCGTTGATTCTGCTGTTGTCCGGGGATGGCTCGCCGCTGGGATTTTCCGGTGTTCCTCCGGCAACAATCGCCGCAGCCAACGCCATCGTCCCAGCTCCTCCTTCCGGGAATCCGTCGGCTAGCGCCACCAATGACCAACTACGGCACAATCCCGACTTCCTCCGGCGGCGACAGCAGCTCCTCCTCGTCGTTCTCCAACATCGCCTACATCTCCCGCGCCGCCAAAGACCGAATCAAAGACGGCCTCGGCACCCTCCGACCATGGAAGTCGATGCTCGACATCCGCAGCTTCGGTCTCCCCCCGAAACATAGCCAACACAATCGGCCGCCTCAAGACGAATTCAGCCTACTTCCGGATGAACTACGCCGTAATTGTTTTGGGGATCTTGTTCCTCAGCCTCCTCTGGCACCCGATCTCGCTAATCGTCTACATCGCCGCAATGGCCGGCAGGCTTTTCCTCTACTTTCTCCGCTGCCGCTTCCCCTTCCCCTAATCATCCTCCAAATCCAGATTCGTAACACCCCAATCCAGATTCGCAAGAAATGGTGGATTTTCAGTGAATCGTAGAGGGGAATCGGATGGAGCTGAGGACGCCTGTAAACGGACGAGCTGGGGATTGGGAGTGTGGATCTCGTCGGGGGTAGCAAGGCGGTGCTCCGGGATGTAGCAAGGCGGAGCGGCGGCGGCGTCGAGGATCGGGAGGGAGGAGGAGTCGTTGTTGGAGGAGGATTGACTGGGTGAGTCGAGGAAAGAGGACTGGGTGATTCAAGTGGATATGGGCGACGGCGGAAGTAAGGAAGGGAGAAGACGAAGAAGCAACGGAGCGGTGGCGACGATTTTGCTTCTTTGCTTTCATAGATGAAGATGATTGTGGAAGGATTTTCTAACGAAAGGTTAAGGTCAAGGTTGATTGTATATGGAAGGAGAAGAGAGAGAGGTCGAAGAATTCTACGGAGCACAGGGGACGGGAGAGGTGTAAATTTTTTAATTTTGTATTTAACATTTTTATTAGATACAAAAGTAACTAAAAATTAATATTAAAGTTCCATGTCAGATGCCACATCAACGCTGACTGGACTTTCTGTTAAAAACTAACGGTCAACACCAGTCAACTTTAACGGAAAAAAAGTTTAGGACACAAATGTCGTATCGAATACTTTAGGACACAAATGACACAAAGTTAATAGTTCGGGTTTCCTAGTGGTATTAGCCCTATTTTTTATTACTATATCAACCAATTGTGTAGAGAAAATTAACGCACTTGCTGACTTTGATACAATTAATATTTTATAATTTGCACCACAATATCTAATGAACATCACACAACATAGTAACCAATAATAGTAGTTGATAACACCTAAATTAGTGTTATTTAACCCTCATACCTAAATTAGTGTTATTTAACCGTCATATTAAGGTTTGTTTCGTGCCAATTCATGTGCATAATTGCTTGAACATCGTCGATTGCATCCCTATTTTGTTCCTATTTGAATTCGATGTGATTTTAGGGTGTATTAGACGATATATGTGAATTTGGTACAAAACAAGGTCACAAGTATAGCAAGGGGGCATGAAGCGGAAGATCGTGGCCTGGAAGCTGAAGATCACGATCAGGAAGGTAGACCGCGAACTGAATCTGAAGATTGCGATGCGGAAGACCCAGATCGTAGTTGCGAATTGTAGGGCTCAGGGCGTGAACTTCGTGAGGAAGGAGCCAGGGAGAAACAGAGACTTTCCCTAGTCGAATCACAACCACATTATTATTTAATCGCGAGGAAGATCGCGACCGCGCAGTCAGCTCGCGATCTCCTCATTTTCGAAGTCTAGGATGACGGCGTTTCAAGATCACAACCTCACTTGCGAAGATCACGACCGCAATCTCTATGCTTCTGGGCGCGAAATTCTCCGTCACCAGATTGCCTATAAATAAAAGACCCATTTCCCCCTCTTAAAGGAGCTGATTTTGAGAGAAATTTCTAGTTTTAGAGAAAGAGAGAAGCTGAAGGAAGGAGAAGGAGCTAGAAGAGAGGGAGCATATTCCTCAACCCAAGCTTCTTCAATTTCTTCTATGTTTTTCTCTTCCCTCCTTTATGGATTAGTCCTCTAAGGTACTAGGGGTTCTAAACCCCAAACCATAGTTTTAGGGTTTGAATGAATGAATGTGTTTATCTAGTTAATTCTATTGCTATTCTATCCTTGATTGTGTTTGGGTAATTTGCCTTAATCTTCTCTATTAGCCTACTTTATGCTTGTACGTTGGGTATGGAGTTCTAGGGTTAGATGGGCATGCTCCATCAAGCAAATCGAGATAGATGTATGAATATAGACCTATGGTGGTCGAGGCGACCGAACCCCTGCCGTAGGTTAGCCTTCCTAGATAGAACCCGAGATGAAACCTTGGTGTGGATGGTGGATAGTGTCCATTGAAATGAGCCATGAGGTTAAGGCCCCAGATACGATAGCCTAGATTGAGGTGATTATATATGGGTTTAGAGGAGGCGTACCTAGAGGCGTGTGGATAACCACGAAAGCTCACGAAAAAGAGTTCACTCGCCACATTCAATAATGTGCATGTATAGTAACCCAAAGATAGGGGAGGATTAGTTCCCTGAAGTACTTGCTTTTAGCTTTAATCAATCTCTAGTCTAGTTATCTCCTCAAGTCCTCCACTCAAACTTCCAAAACTGATTAACTAATTAGCAACTAGGTGGGAAGTAGGCTAGGGTACTAGGACTCGAGTAAAATACAACCTTGATCACCACTATACAACAAAGCCATCTTAAATTAAACTTGGCTTAGGATGTGGTAGTTGTTGACACGTGCTAACCATTGACAATAATCTGCACGGATTGAATCGATCAAGCTTTTTGGCGCCGGGTCCGGGGACCCGTGGTAACTAGTTGAAAATCATAAGTTGTTAGTTAGTATTTACCTTGTTTGTTTGTTTCGTTTTGTGTTTTTTGTGAGAGTTTTTGTTATTTACGTGTTTGTTTCGTTTTTGCTTTGTGTTTGTTTGTATTTTTGTTATTTTCGTGTGTATTTTGTTGTTTGTTTCGCCACCCAACTTCGTACGTCACGGTTTATTGAGGTTGTGTTTTGTAGCACCTTTGTATGCGAAGAAGGGATTCTTTGAAAATATTACCTCTTGATACAGAAATCGGGAGAACCCATCGGAATATGAGAAGAGATGCAATACCTCAAACTCCACCGATGGCGCATCCACAAGCTCAAGTTCCACCGAGGCCAAGAGCAATGGGTTCTTACTCTAGGCCAAGGGTGGATAATGTGAAATCACCTATTCTTCATCCGACGTTGCCCAACAACGAGTACGAGATCAAGCCGGGCACGATTTCAATGCTTCAAAGTGAGGTTTAATTCAATGGGATGATGAGTGAAGATGCGCATGCACATGTCAAGTCATTTTATGAATTGACGATGGAATCAGATTGAATGGAGTTTCTCAAGATGCTATTCAATTAATATTATTTCCATTTACCTTGAGTGGCGCAATAAAGAAATGGTGGAACAATCAACCACATCAATCCATCACCTCATGGGATGATCTATGCATTAAGTTCTTCGCAAGGTTATCCCACCTTCTAAAACAACTTTAATGAGAAGTGAGATTACTATGTTATGTCAAGAAGCAGATGAACCATTGTTTGAAGAATGGGAAGAAACTTATGAAATGTGATTGGTGTGGCGACTCAAGTCATACTATGAAAGAGTGCAAGTCTATGATTGAGGCTTCACTACAATTTGAGCAAGCCAACTTTGTTGGAGGTTAATCTCAAGGGAACAACCCTTATAGCTCAACATATAATCCGGGTTGGAGGAATCACCCTAATTTTCTTTGGTCTTCTCCAATGGATAGGAAACCTCCAGGTTTTCAATCTCAAGCTCAAACGCAAAATACTTATCAAAGACCAAGTCAATCGTCATACAAAGGAGTGTATCAAGAACAAAGTCGACCCTCCAATGGTCGGCTCTCTAAACTTGAAGATTTGGTGGGACAATTTGTTGCACAACCCAACAAGAAGTTTGAAGCTATTGACAAGTTCATAGAGAATACCTCAACCAAATTCTCTTGTTTGGAAGTGGGTCAACGGATTCAACAAGCCTCACTCAAAATCTTGAAGCTCAATTAACTTCGTTGGCTCAAACTATATCATAAGACCTTAAAGAACTCTACCGGGTAATACCGAACCTAATCCAAAGGAAGGATGTCATGCGGTAACTCTAAGGAGTGACCGACCCTTGAAGGAGATTCCTATTTCAACTACGAGATCCCGGTTAGAGAGATTCAAAATGAAGTCGTTAAAGAAGAAGAGATAGTTCGGGAGGAAGTCCAACCTTCCATTGAAATCGAGATTGAAGATGAAGAGAAGTCGAGGAAGACTCAAGTACCCGATCCAACACCAAAAGTTCCTTATCCATGACGGTTATTTGAAAGTGACCTCTATCATGAGTGTGCTCCATGGAAGGATACCTTGAAGCAATTGAAGTTAACGGTTCCTTCTCCTAGACATGGTGATGAAGATTCCTAAATATACTAAATTCTTGAAGGAAATATTGTCGGGAAATAGGAAATGGAGGAAGTGGCTATGGTATCCGTTAGTGAAGTGGCTTCACCATCAATCGGGTGAGGAGGATTCCCTCCCAGACTTCAAGATTCGGGAATCTTCACTATTCCATGAACTTTAGGAGTCAAAAAATTTTGGAATTCGTTAGCCGACTTGGGGTCTAGCATCAACATTATGCCTATACGGATATACAATAAATTAGACCTTGGACCACTCGTACCTACTAAGATGAGGATTGAGTGGGAAAATAGGTCCGTCGTCAAACCAAGAGGAATCATATAGAATGCCTTGGTGAAATGTGCTCACTTTGTTTATCCTGTGGACTTTGTGGTACCCGACACGTAGGGGTGTGATGCATCGATTATCCTAGGCCGACCATTCTTAGCCACGACACGGACTTCATTGATATAAGTGGAAGCAACATCACATTAAGGTTTGGTGAGGAGGAAATAAGCTACAAGATGACTCCAATCCCAAAATTTCACAAGTATTTCAAGTGGGACAATGTCAAGATGGATTCTAAGCCAGTTACACCTCCTACCACACCACCTTTGAGCCCCGAGATAGAGTGGTTATGGTCTCCCATGTTGATCCCCACGAAAATCAAGTTGAAGGAGCAAGTGACGCTTGCAAGATCAGAAGAGACCGGGCAAGGATAAGTTTTATTGCAAAAGGGAAACCCAAGAGTTGTTTAAAGTTTCACATCTCTCCGATGGTCATATAATGAAACTTCAAAGGTTCATCTTTGAGAAGAGACATCTCAAGAAAGGAAGTCGGATGGTTATGGGTAACCGAGCTCCTATACTTGAAGATGAAGAATTCGGGGAATGCTATAAGCCATTCACGGATAAAGATAATTCTACAAGGAAGCTTGACCTTAGCCATTTTTTACATCAATCTTCGAATGGATCCTCTCTATCTCTAGCACTGGATGAGGCATCTGAGAGGCTCCATGGTCTTCACTTGGGACTTCACCATAAGTAT